TATATCACACTTCTGCCAAAAGCAGAGGCTGGTCCATTATAAATTAAGAACTGTAGACCTATCTCCCTGTTAAACTCATACTATAAGTTATTTGCTTCAATACTGGCAGAATGATTTAAAAAATATTTAAATAGTTTTATTCACTCAGACCAAAATGGGTTTTTACCAAAGAGACAAATTAAAGATAATATGAGAATAATTCTGGACACTTTGGAATATTATGAGGCACACTCTGAAAAACAAATGGCTTTGATGTTTTTAGATGCACAAAAAGCATTTGATAATGTGAATTGGCGATTTATGTTTTTACAACTGGAACGCATGGGCTTTGGTAAGAAATTTACACAAGCGATACAAACCATATACCACAAACAGCAGAGGTAATGATAAATGGAGAACTGACAGACTCTATTCAAATAAAGAAAGGGACGAGACAAGGCTGCCCATTATCATCTCTACTTTTTGTGTTAACATTAGAAGTTTTAAATAGAAATATCAGAGAAGAAAAAGAAATAAAAGGAATGAAAATTAAAAAGGAAGAATATAAACTACAAGAATTTGCAGATACTCTGGTTTTCATCTTAGAGGATCCATTATAAACTCCACCTAAATTGATAGAAAAAATAGAGGAATATGGAAAAGTAGCAGGTTTGAAAATAAACAAAGATAAAATGAAGATTTTTGACAAAGTATATATCATCAAGGCAAAAGGAAGAATTGGTGGAAGCCTTGGAGATTCAAGTTACAAATAAGGTTAAATATTTGAGGATATATTTAACCGCAAGGTGTAATACACTCAAAGAGAACAACTATTATCAACTCAAACAGCAGATTGCGATTGATTTGATGAAATTGGAAAATCTACAACTATCAATGATAGGGAGAAAATCTACAATCAAAATGAATATCTTACCCAGAATCTTATATTTGTTCCAGACAATTCCAATCAGACTAGGGAAAGACTACTTTGATGATTTAAATAAAATAGTGCTGAAGTACATCTGGCAGGGGGGGAAAGCAAGAATAAAATTAAAATTGTTACAAGAAGCTAGAATAAGAGGAAGATTTGGCCTGCCTAACTGGAAATTACATTATCAGGCAACAAGCCTGATGTGAGTAAAGGAGTAGATAACATTAAGGAATTCCAGATTATTGACTGTAGAAGGATATGATATTGTTGAGATGGCATGCTTTTTTATGGTACAAGGGAACTAAAACGTGGGGGTATTTTAGAAGACACTATTTACAGGAGGCTCTGCTGATAATTTGGGAAAAGATCAAAAGACAATATTATTTAAAAATTCCAGTCTGGCTATCAACTATTGAAGCTTTTTTCATATCCAATAATATACAAGGAACAAACAGTTAGACATGGTAAAGTACTGAATGCAGAGGGTGAACTTAAATCTATGCAAGAGTTGGAACAAGAAGGAATAAGGATGAATTGGTTTTCATATGTGCAAATACAATCTAGATATGGCAAATATTGTAAAACAGAAGGTTTTTATGATAAAATGACTGAGCTAGATGAAAGGTAGGTATTGATGAAAAAGTAATTAAAAATTATATGGACAATAACTAGAGGTTAAGCTAGAGGAAGAACAAGTCAAAGAACCTATGATAGCTTCGGAGGGGAATTTTGACATGGGATTGAACTAGAGAAGTGGCAGATATTGTGGTCTCAAAATTATAAAATAACAATGTCAACAGCATATAAGGAAAACTTGTATAAGATGTTTGACAGGTGGCACCTACCCACAACGAGAATAGCAAGAATGTTCAAGAACAAATCGGAAAAGTGTTGGAAATGTCATCAGACACCGGGTTCATATTACCACATGTGGTAGACTTGCATAAAAGCCAAAAGATATTGGACTAAAATCCACATGTGGTTGGAGAAAATGTTACAAAAACACATGGACTTTAAACCAGAGATTTTTTTATTGGGAATTATTCCAGAAATATACAACAAAGATTTGAAATATTTGATTGTAAATGTCTTAACGGCAGCTAGAATTGTATTTGCAAAAAATTGGAAAAAGGAAAAAATACCAATGCAGGAGGAACCTATTCGGAAAATAATGGAATATGCTGAAATGAGTAAATTGACATTTGAAATTAGAGAACAAGAAGATGAACAATTTTATCAGGTATAGGACATTCTATCAGTGGCTAGATAAAAAAACATGGAAATGAAAAATGTTGGAGAATGTTTTTTTCTGTTTATATACTGTAAGAATAATAGAATGATATAGGTGACATTATAAAGGCATATTATTATTAAATAAATTAAGAATGATGCAATGGAAAGTTGATATATATATGAATTCAATACTTAGAATATTTCGTTCAAAATAAAGGAATAAAACTGTAGATGAACAAATGATGATAATAATGTCCCTATGTATATCTGATGGATAATCTGTGACTTTATACATAACTGAAAGCAGTGATGCACAAAAGCCTGTAACCAAACGACATGCTATATGTAATTGATGAAGGTTTTATGTTTTGTTCGTCTTTATTTGTCCATAAATAAAAAACTTTTATAAAAAAAAATTCTGTTCCTCCTCCTTCACAAATGAAGATGCTTCTGGGATGAGAAGAAAAATGTTTTCAAAGAAAAAAAATCAAGAAAGTCCAGTTGTCTTTCATACACCTAAAGTGACCTGCATTTATCCCTTAATTGATCACTTACCCATTTAAAGAACGCATTCTGAATTTCTTCCACTCTTGGTACTTCCATTCTTGATACTGTGAACAGTTTGGTTCATCTACTAACAGTTTGGCCAGATCAATACCACTGATTAATACGTTTAAAATTTCTGTTCCCAAATAGATCCTTAAAGGATTTTATGTTTTAGTTCCCTCCACTTAGAAAACTGGAAATCTATTCATAATTTTTGTTTTCTATTTTCTAAATAGAAATCCATAAACTGGTAGATCCTCTTATCCCATCACTAAGTTTACTAAACAGCTTTTAATAAGGATATTTTTTCAAAGTCCAGCTGAGTAATATTACCATATGTGTTGCAGACAGATGGGAAACTATAATGCTATTACATTTGGCATCTATGCAAGTAAGAATGAATCCCCTTCACTCTGTAGTAACTATCACAGAGTTAGTTTCCCTTTACATACCTTTCAAGTTAATGGAGTTTTGGAAAGTGACTACATAGCAATAGCACTTAAACTTATATACCATTCCACAGTGCTTCATAGCACTCTCTGAACAGTTACAAATGTCAGCATTTTGCTCCCAATAATTGGGGTCCTCATTTGACTGACTTTAGAAGGATGGAAGGCCAAGTCAACCTTGAGTCAGTCAGGATCGAAGTCCTGGTTGTGGGCAGAGTTATTTTAACCACTGCACTACCAAATGGACTATGGTCTCTATTTGTCTGTATAACATTTTGAATACTGAACTAACTAGAAGCATGATTGATGTACAGTAAATGAAAGTCCGGGGTGGGGGGGAGCTTGAGGAAGAAAATAGGCTAGTTCAGGTGAGCGGAAAAAAGTCCAAAGAAAATTCACCCAGTTCTTTTCTATGGGAGGCATAGAACACTTAGGCAGCACTTGGAATGTTGCTGACTGTTCTATTCCAAGTCATTTTAGTCACATGGCCCAGAATAGAGCTATTCTTCAGAAGTTGGGATATATTGGTGCATATATAATTTGGTAAATCTAATTAAATGTTATCTATTTCTAATGGAACATTCCAATGCTTAGAAAACCTCTACTGAGTAAAGCTTTTATGCAGGTGTAGCGTACATTATGTAGCATCTCTACTGTTCTCTTTATTTACATAGATAGTTTTATTTTCCATTTTCATTTTCTTACAGTCACACATATACTGTACAGAACCGGGGCCATATAACATTAAACAATAAACACAGCCATTCCTCTTGTCAACAATACCCCTCAAAATAGAAACCCAATGTACCTCTTCGACCCTCCATACACCCTTTCTTTCGCCCCCCTCCAACTTTCCGTCTTCCCACCATCATTCCCCTCTACCCTACTTCCCCTCCCCCTCTACCATACCTCTCTCCCAATACACTCCCTCCCTTCCTTCTCACCCTCCCTCCAATCCTCTCTCCCACCCTCTCTACCCCTCTTTCTTCTTTCCCTCTACTCCTCCCTTCGGTGTATTTCTACTATCTATTAATATATTCAGCTTGTCCTATTTTTACACTGGAATTAAAGAGCAACAGTATACAAGTGCAATCGTGTTACTTTAGTATCTAGCACATACTATATACCCCCCCCCCCTAAGACCCCACCTCCCCCCCCCGACTTCCCAGAGCCCGTACATGGTGTAGCTTTTTAACAAACACAGTCTAAAATATATTAAGGCAAAGGAAATTAAAAAAAAAGAAAGTCAATGACATCTCTGCATTGATGTCAAAAATGGATTGATTATACACAAAACAAATACGGGACTAAGAAATTCCAGATAGCCTATGCTTAAGATTAGGAATAATTTAAACTGCTTAAAGTTTGTGCAACAGCAAGAAGCTGAGTTCAATGCAGAGATGTCTACTGTTCTCTTTATGAGGAATGGGTACAGTACATTATGGACTGCCACAGTTAGACTCTTGCCTCAGTGAAACACATTGCATGTATAGGGAAGGCTTTCATTTCCATGGATCATAAACAGCAGCTCAGTCACCAAAATGAAGCAGCATGACTAGTCCCTTCTCCAAAGCATGGAATTGCAAAGCATTGTAAAAGGCACTGGTTTTAGTCACAAATTTATCCACAAATATCTGCTTTCATTAGGCATCTTATGAACCAAGGCAATACTTTGAAATTCTGCACAGCCTCATGCTTTCCAATGCATAATGCATAAAGTACTATAAGTTGGATAATCATTCTATTAGCTAAATACAGATTTCAAAAATAAAAACTGAACATCCATGATTAACAATTCTGAAAAGGCAATCACATACATTTAGGATCAAAAATAAAACAGCTAAGATTTTGTTGCAATTTACCCAGTTGCCATTTGCTTGAACACATTGTCTCCATCATCCAAATGGGTAAGGCTGGTTCCAGCATAGCAATTGCCATATTTGCAAAACATATTGCTCCTTGAAAGAGATGAAAAATAGATTTCTGGAATTATTTCACTTAAATTCTAATCAATAGCCGGAAAGAGCTACGCTGACATGAACAAATGCAGTTTGAAGAGTTGGTTGTCAAGTGTACAACCATGATTATATTTCAATTGCTAGGATGGGGGGGGGGAGGGAAACATTTAATCCTGTAATTTCATAAAAGTTCCACTTTTCCAAAAATGAGAACAATAAGCAATAGACTATGCCAAAGACATGGAGTGCAATGATGTTTAGAAAATGTTTTAAATCTAGCAGCACAACTTTTAATACCAATAATTTTGCTATTACTGACTCAGTGATAACATGCATATTTTGTTTTAATAAAATGTGTTTTTGTATGTAATGTTTTCAATTTTCAGATTGAAATTTTATTTGCTACAAGACTTGAGAATGACCCAAAGAAAGAAATCAACAAAATCAAGTCTTGTGGATCGCTTATAACAAAATAAAACAGTGGCCACATTCCCTACAAGTAGATTCAAATATATCAAGTGTGTTGCTATTTTTGATAGAATTTCTCTTCCAGCACATTATGGAGTAATATGGAGTAATTATGGAGTTTTTACATGAAAATCTTCAGATTCTATAACTTGGACTTATACCTTTCATGCATTGAATGACTTTTAAAGCAGTTTAAACAATTTTGATAATAATAAAAACTTAACTGCAAACTGACTTTTAAACCTTTACACTTCAACTAGTATTTCTTAGCTATACAGAAATTATTTTGCCCAAGAAAAGGCTCTCTTATCACACAGTTCAGCAATAAAATGACCACTGCTGTCATCCTTTGTTCAAATATGCCACATTGTATTAGGCTGTCTATTTAGGATATCTAAAACCTAGATGTGCTCTCACCTATATGCCTAAAGGCAATGAACAAGAATCCAATTCGTTTCTTGCAAAGATGATGATGTTGTACCAAAGATATTAGAACTTGGGGAAAAAAAACATCTTTGCTTTTTCAAGTTCTGATATCTTCTTGCAGAAAAATAGCTCTGTCCTGTGAGACTGCAAAGCTCTCACAAGATTTTATAATGTAAAACTTCAGCCATTTTTATTTTTATAAAGTTGTTTAAAGCAATGCTAACATAAAATGATGTGGATGACAAGTTCTCTAGCATTGTGTTATACCAGTGTTTCTCAACCTTGGGGACTTTAAGTCCTGTGGACTTCAACTCCCAGAATTCCCCAGCC